ATGTATACTTAAGTGTAAAACAGTGCACAAGAAGTATAAAAGAGTACCTGCAATAACGTAAAAATAGCATTAACCAAGGTTATGCGAAGGGACTAAAGTATTAAAGAGAAATTGTGTAATTTGTTAATATGTTTTCTTGTTTGCTGGCTTTCATGTGACTGGCCGCCATCGTCGTCATGCGACTACATTGTGTACATACGCCATGGAAATGAGTTCGACATTCTGCCTTCGTTCAACATTGTCGTTACGTCATCGCAGTCGTCTTTGTTTGTAGAGCGATGTTTGATCTAAGTTCGCGATTAAAGACAAGGTCTGCCTTTTCTTTGCGCAGCCTTTATCCCCCCAGCAATTTCATAAAGTGCTCAATGTTTGTCGTTCTTTCGCTGTTCTTATTTCAGGCCGTATTTCAAGCATTATCGGGTGTTTTAGCTGATGGGTTAGATGGTAATGTAAGTTCTAGAGAAAGTGTTTGTTGCCACAATACTTTTATTTATTTTGGTATAATTTGTTTCTAAATGTTATGAAGGTACCTACAACTAAAATTGTTCATGCGGTGCGACTTTGGAATTCCCTATCACCTAACATCCGTGACTCTAAATCCATCCAAATCTTTAAAAGACTCGTAAGGGAGTATTACCTTTCCTCATTCTGTGCAAATTAGTGTCATATATATATGTGTATAATATGTATATTTGTAATATACCCATGAGGGTATATTACAAATATGACACATATGAATGTGTATTAGGTATTTGATGTGTATCTATCGTACGTATAGGTATATGTATTTTTTGAGATCTATTTATTTAATACATTATTTATCGGTTATATTTTGTGTATGTAGTTTTAAGTACTTATTGGCATATTTTTTTTTAATTTTTGTTCTTTTTTGTTCATGTCATGTTACACACAGTGTCTTAGTTTTTACCGTTTTTCCTGTCGAAGGACTGCAGGAAGAGATTCCTACGGGAATATGTAGTACCTATGTACCTCCAATTTATTTATATAATTATGTATTCTCCTGTGTACTGTCTGTGTATTGTGCATAAATAAATAAAACTTCTTATCTTAAGCAATGGGGAAAATGGCAATAGCTTTACATTAGGCAGTTTCAACCCTTATTATATAACTGAGTTTCAATTAGGTATCTAAAATCCTGTTTGTATATAATAATTTTATCTGATCCGGAAACTGATAATTCGGAAGAAATTTTCTCGTTTGCAAATCTTACTCAAGCAACGAAGCAGTTAAAAAAGCGTTCGATAAATTGTAACTTTTACTTACCTTGTGAAATTTGATATACAACACACCACTTTTTATTCGCTGAAGGGCAGGGACTGAACACTTACACTCCTGTCCAGGTTACATACACTAACTTAAAATGTTCACCACTTAAGTACGTCACATATTACATTGGAATTCGAGCTGGTTTTTGCCAACCATCGTATTGTAGCTGGATAAAATATAAGTAATATTTTACCTACATACTATTAGTATCTTTTGCTTACTTTAGGTACGTAAATAATTTGTAGTTTAAACTAAACAGAGTACAAGTACCTACTGTTCTTTCAATGCTTTGTATTCTGAACTTTGTCGTCCTGCATTGTGGCGCTTCGCAACATTTGTTTATAGCATTTTACAGGTATTTTAGGTTTAAATGTGATTTCTATTATATCTTCGATGTAATACATTCCCCGAATGTACATACTGATTTTATCAGTTTTATATTTTTATGGAGTGAAATGAACATGTTTCAACACGTATTAAAAGCGAGGTAGATAGATATGTTATATTAATGTGAACAAACAACTAAATTTCCATTTCATTATGCTCTACCTTCTGGTTAGATTTAAATAAAAGCATGCAAACTGTTGGCAAACTAAACTACAACTTTTAATTGTGTGTAGGTAAACACAATATTCTCGAAACTAGATCGAATTCAAAACTTCTCAGAAATGAAAACTGCTTTTGTGGTTCCTCTGTCAACTTGGTCCATACAATTACCGCTTGAAGTGGGGTATTTACATCACAACCGTGCCGCAGGACTCGAACTACAAAGTTTGAAAGCACTTACCTACCTTCATAGTTTGCACCTATTCACGCAGTTTAATCACTCGCTGGCCTTCCAGCTGACTATAGACGTTAAGTGCTTGCACTTAGGTTGCATTATCGTAATTGTCAACGTATTACCTATTCATACTACCTATTATTTGTCGCTTAAATAAAAAACAAGCAATCGCCGCAAATCACTTTTTGTTACAGCGAAGTAGTTTTTTTCATTAGTTAGTTTTTCAATAAATCGTTGCGATGAACGTGAATCGTGACTGCTTTCCTGTGAATCGAGCGATAAAATGCCACAGTTTTAAACTGCAAATAAAAGGACACCGGCCTTTTATGTAGCATCGTTTTCAGTCGAATGCGTAGATTTATACTTTTAAACAAAAATATTAAATACTATTAATTTTTGTAGTTAATGCTTCGTTTCGGAGAAGCTTCGCCGATCAAACTTTTTAATTAAAGTTACAGCCGACCAACCACGTGCCTGCAAATTCCTTTTGATGTTGTATATTTATTTTGCGTAATGCTTCGACAAGTGGTCACAAGAACTTGTTGTACTGTAAGCAACAAGTAGTACTACTCATGAATGACAAACTTACTTCATGATGACTCGTTATATGGTTTTCATATTTGATTTACCATCAATAAATACTTTTAGATACCTACAGGTTACAGTTGTATGGAGCCAAATGACGTGAACTACAGTTGAAGGTGCACGCTTCTGGAGCACAAGGGTGCTTGTTTCAAATCTGTTGCTTGGACAACTTTAGGTAGTTCAATGTAGTTTTTAAATTTACTTAGAGAGACCTCTATTATATCGTGAGGGACTTATAATCTTATATCTTATACTATTATATAAAGCGGAAGTTTGTTTTTTTTTTTTTGTTTGAACGCATAATCTCCGTAACTACAAGTCTGATTTGAATAATTATTTTTGTATTGGATGGCGCATTTATCGAGGATGGCTATAGGCTACAAAATATCACGCTACGACCAATAGGAACTGATCAGAGCGTGTGAAACCGCGCGGAAGTAGCTAGTCCATTTATGTGACTGCACAGATTACGCTGTTGCCGATAAACTATCGGATGATGCGCAATTGGTTGCAAGTTCGATTCCCGCATGGAATACATTTTTCTGTAATCCATAAATTCTACTTCCGATTGTGATGTGTGGGATGTTTATTTGTAGGAATGTTTATAAATAATACAGGAGAAAAGAGGAGATATTGCTTGTGTGGGGTCATGTTTTATATAGACCATTGGCTTTTGGCGTATACCTGTATTTTTGTTGTGTCGTGGTGTAATAAATTGTTTTTCTTTTTTTATTATACCTACTTAAGTCTGAAATTGCTAATCTGCCTTAGGCAAGTGATGGCTGGTGACTAATCCTTGTTCTTTCTCACAAACGGCATTTCCCCGGAAGCAGTAGGACAGTTCACAGGCTGATTTCGTGTCGTGAAAAATATGTAAGACGATTTGGGAGTCCCTACTTTTATCGTTTCTTACTCTCTTACCTGCTGGTTTGTGCTGATGAATTTCTCGACTCGGCAAATACTTAGTTACGTCGTTGCCATAGTCATGGTGGATTGACGATCATAGTTTTGAACCGCTAACAAGTGTTGACAGTTACAACACAACTACTTTTTATAACCAGAATCAGTATGTACGTGTGTATATACTGATTCTAGTAATAAAAAGTAGAGAAAGAATTTCGTCATTTCAAAAACTAATGAAAATTCAGCAGTGCATACAGCAACTTGAAAAGATAAACGATACATATTAAATTCTTTGCAGTGACAGATATGTAGGTAACAAATTGCATTCTTGGTTATTTTGGCACATATTTTTATCAGGGTCAAATGTTATATTTATTTCACGTCATGTGATACGAATTTAGCTCTTTATCGACATATATTTATCTCTTTCCTTAAATAAAATACTTATGTAAATTAGCGTTAATAGAACATTTTTTATTATTATTTCTAAAGTGAAGTTTACTTTGACACTAAGTTTGGCTCGGTTCGTCTAATTTTCGTACTTTCGTAGCCTCCTGAGAGATGATGAATATTTTGTGAATTCTTCTAACGAGTAGCTACAGTTTTGTGCTACTGTGCTGAGCTGTGACTACTAACACTGACTACAAAACATCCAGATGTTAAAAAACTCGAACTTGAAGGCAATCGCAAAGGAGATGATTATGAATGAGAATAGACAAATTAATGATGATACGATATGAGTATTTTTCTTATTGTTTCCTTTGAAATATTTCTACAACTGAAAGATATTGTGTTTATACGGCTTGAATGAATACCGTCATTATTAACATATTGGATGCTGTGTCGGACAATGATGGCCGACACTAGCGGAGGATTAGCCTTTAACTGTTTTTGTTTGCAGTCAAAGGCTTAACGCTTGATGGAACTTCATCAATCATATTATAGAGGTATTACATCCTAGGTCAAGTAACTACTTGACCTATAGGATGGAATATATGTTTATTATGTAAAAAGTATTCGTGTTTTTATTTTTTTATATTTTTGTATGTATTTGTGTGCCTCATTCTCTTCTCTTTCTCTCTTTCTTTCTTTCTTTATTTCAGTGTGCATTTAGTTAGCCTTTCGTCTCGTCTTATCGTTTTTTACACAATGGTCGAAACAAAAGCCTCCATTCTTGTGGTGACCCCTTTTAAGTTTTTTTACCTCATTCCGTAACGACCGAGTTCGTAGACATTTTTGTTCATCGATTTAGCTTTTTTGACATCGAATAATTATTCGGTTCATAAATGACTACTTACCATTTCATTACGTTAAATGTACCTAACTCTACTTTTGCTTGAGAATTGATATCCAATAAAAATAAAATCATGTAAAAATAATTCTTGCTCGATTATTTTCACTCTGATCTATAGATTAAATAAAACAAAACTTGGAAAATACCTACCTTTCTTATTTTTTCCAAATTCATCAATGTGAAATGTATGATTGGCGCTTTAGAATATTGAATTTTGTTTTTACATATCTCTCTTCAGGCTTCAGGGTATTGCTTAGGGTGTCTTCTATCGACGTCTCCATCAACTCGTACTTCGTACACCTCGTTTCTACCATAAATCCAATTTCACCTACCCTTTCCCTTTCTACCCTTAGGATAGTATTGAAAAAAGGTCCTCTTTGCTACTAGGTATATCCTGCAAGAATAACAGTCAAAACGTATACCTTACAATAGTTCTAGAATACATCGACTTAGAACCTTAGTAGCTAGTGATTCGAACAACTTAAACGCTCGGCATTTGTGTCAGCCTCATAAATATTCGTGAATGGCCCACCCTCTTGGTAACTTCGTGGGTATACCTATCCCTTTCGTTCCAAAATATGGATCCTGCTTAGGGAGGCCTTCAAATCGCCAACCAAATATTTCGGATTTTTACTTTCACTTTCTCGCTACAAGGTTTCTTGAATTATTTTTTCTTCGAGTTTTAGTTATATTACGATTATATAGTACCTACTATTTTAGGCCTACAATGTAAAATGAGTTGCCCAAAATTGAAACATCTTTAAGGAGTAAACAGTGCGCGCTGTCTTAGACATGACGTTCGCTGTGTTACCGCTCGCAGTGTAGTTATGTCACAATGTACTTAATTCTAGACTTAGGTAAAAATTAAAACAAGATTGGAATAGGTATCGAATCCCCAGTGAAAAGAACAATGCACGCAAGCGTATACAACCTACCTAATTATCGCGGGCAAGCCGATTTTTTTATCGATTGAAGCCAACCATGGTATCGTAGAATGTTTACATCGGATTTACAGTCCTAGTATAAAGTTATATAAGAGTATTTTCTGATTTTACTTACAGCAAAATATGTACAGACACATGTCTACAAACACTAGTTAAAATAAATAGTAAATAAATTGACTTTGAAATAGTTTTAAAGTGAGTGATAGCAAGTATTAAAATAGTTTTATAAAGTTTTGAACTATCATAAAAGTGGATAAAACTTACATTAAGTTGGTGGCATGTTGTAGTTGTTTTGTTAGACGGGCCGGCAGACGTGTTTCGCGCGAACCGGTTACCCTCTAAGAATGTTCACAATAGCTTAAGGTCGCTATACACTCGCTTGTGGCGCGCGGCAACTGTCCGACGACTGTGGGGGAAGTCGCACACTGCGGAACGTGGTGCGCGCGCACTACACTCCCCGCGCTCCAGTCGTACATTATAACTGGTCTGGTGTCTCCATTCACATAAATTGGTTCAGCTTTATCCGCCAATTCAAAAGTTTTCCCACAAGCTTGGGGGCAACTTGCAAAAAACCCCGCGACGTTAGGTGAAGCGGGGCGGCCGCTACGGTGCCGGTTAGCCGGCGCGTGCGTAGTACCACTGTAAGGCTAGAGGCAGCTTCATTTGCATGCGTTACTGGTTGTTCAGCAACAACTTTATAGTAAACGATAGCCGGCTAATTGTTAATAAGGCTAAATGCTCTGATATTAGGCAGTTTCATAGGACGGTATTTGAATTTTAAAACTCCTGCGACATGACGGAGAGTACCTATAGTTTATGTTGTGGAGCTGGTTTACCTTATTTCATTTATGATTATTAAGGTAAAAAAATTTAGACGAATTTCTGCGAAACACCTGGTGATCGCACTTCATTCATTATGATGCATGTGAACGAGTTGCTATCAACATTTGCTCGCAATTTATTTTTTTGACTCTCCTATGTTATGTGGCATAAAGCTGCGAATACAGAATGTGCGCAGGACAATGAAAGTTACTCGATGCGCAGTGGTAGTCGCACACACATTCGCTTCCAAGAATTTTGTGAGTGTGTGTGTGTGTGTGTAGGTACTATCGTATGGACACTATCACTCCTTCTCCTTGAGCAACAACATGCGCAATGCGCAAAGTCTCATGTGCCGCTAACGTCAGAGCTATAAAAGTTTTCGGTAAAATGTTGACATACGGACTACTAAAACTTTTATAAAATACTTATTTATGCTAAAAAAATCTTAAATCTATTATTATATAGCTAATTAGTATGAGTTCTAAATAAGCTAAAACTAAAATATTGTTAAAACATTGGTACGATTAAATAATACAATATATATTTTGTAGGAATTTTATTGAACACAAGAGCACACAAGTGCTATTAAATACACTTAGGAGTATGTCGTACAAAGCTTAATTACAATGATATTCGTACCTCAAGTAAAAATAGCGACAGGAATAACTAAGAGACTGCAATAGATAGTGACAAGTTGACAACAATTATCAAAGTGGTGCACGTTATGCAACATGAACAGAGTATAGTAGCAATTTCACAAACAAATACCAACCAACTTTCAACAACTAGTTTATGAATTCAAAGTTAGTCTGTCCTTTTAGAATCGGTATAACATTTTCAGCATCAGTCAAATATCATAGCCTCCCTATAACTATACTTAAACTACAATACAAAAGATAGATTTACGTAGCTTTGGTAATATAAAGAAAACATTTTGCATTTTAATACAAAATATCGATTAGCATAGTGAATGCATTCATAACGATTACAAACGAAATAAATTTCAATGAAACTTTTGTCATGTCGCGTGTTATACATAATGCTTTCTTTCATTCTTAACATGGTTCAAACTAGAGTAAGGTACTCATTACTCATGTCATGTCTTACATAATAACCAGGCGATTTAAGAAAAACAAGAATCACATTGTATCGATCCGATGCGCCTACGTCACTAGTACGTCATGTCTAAAACGTCGCAACGTTGACGTCGCGTCGTAAAAGGTGTTGTTAATGCAGTCCAATACAGAGCAAGATTGCACGTGGTTATCGTACGAGCCACGTCGGCGCTCAGAAAGCAAACAATTTCCACAGAACATGGCACACACGAGACTGGGTCATGTGCTCTTAAAAAAAACAACTGCTACTGGTAAGTTACAACAAGTAGACAAAACATTGTAATATTTAAAATTAGTGAAATAGAGATTACTTTTTATTCGAGACAGATCGGATACAACTTTAACATGCAGTTATAACTTACTATTGCAACAGTATGCTAACATGAATATATTGCTTATTATTTCAACACTCTAGGCACCACAGACTAAATTCTTCAGTATTAAACAGAGTTTACTAGCTTCTGAATGTGATAACAGTATAAATAGGAACTAAGTGTCCGCTAGGAGATTCCGAAACACTAACTTATTTGACTCGTATTTTTGAGGAGGTGCGATAAAATTCCTTAACCTGCAACTTGTTTACGTACTTTTAAAAGATTGCATTCGGTTCGAGAAAAATTGAGAGAGGTATACGTTATAAAATCGTGCAATCAGGAAACGAAACGAATTATGGCAACCATCATAAAATGTTCAATTTATATTACTTCAATTTATACAACGCAATTCTTGAATCTACGCAAAACACTGAATATATTTATCAAATTCTGAATAAAACTCATAGGTTTAACACCAAAGGAAAATAACTACAAAAAACAGTGTGAACAGACAAACAACGCTTAAAAGAAACAAAAACCAAACGGCGAGCGTTAAAGAATATAGTAGTAAAATTAATTTTAACTTTATTTACTGTGGAATGAATTCCCGAGGTGGAAGCAAGCGGTGTTTCCAGGAATACAAGCTTATAGCTACTGTGAAAAGGCAAAGGGAACGGGAGGTGTTATAACACCTTCAAACATTTCACGCAAGAATTATAAAGTTGACATTTATTAAAACACGACTCAAATAAGTTAGTGGCTAAAATATATTTTATGTTACACTTTGAGTAGAGGTTTAAAAAACATTTTGAGAATTTTCTTGCACGAAGTAATTTGCAGTATCTTTTACATATGTATAATGTAATATTGCTAACTACTTAGTGCAAACGTGTTATGATTAGACTAAAGTTATTCGAGTGAATATTTCGGTTATTTGTTTGATTGACTAGGTATTATCGGTAGGCCTGAGTACAAACATAATTGTTTGCGGGGATCGCGATCCCGGTTTATGGCAGCAAACAGAACCGCTACCCTGAAAGCGTACGAGCGGACATACCTCCGATACCGCTAAAACGCTATGAACAAAGAGTGAACAGTGGTTTACCGCGAACAACGTGGAGCGTACATTGTTTTTTAATAAACGTTGTATATAGGAACTCAAACTAAAACTAGAAATCTAGGACTCAAAGATTGAACGATATTAATATCCAGTACATCGTAATTACGTAAAAGTAGCAATTGAACATTTATAAGAATTTTATCGTATAAAAAATTCCAATCTTATTACCAATGTCAAATTGTTACACGGAAAATAGTACAAAGTTGTACACAACGCAAGTGGAAAAGTCATTCAACATTTTAATCCTCCACGAGGTAGTATTCATGCAACTTTCCGAATGTATGGAAAAGTTTGGTTTCAATATCGAAGCGCAGACATTCATTTAAGTTAGAGAATATACGAATTTGTACAACAAGTTCGTGAATCTCTAGTACGGGACAACGCGCTATCAGAGTTTTGTAAAATTGTGACTTTAAAACATATTAGGAAATAAAGTCGACATTACGCTACACGAAAATGAAATATAATACGATAGCGTAAGATTAATGATTAAAGTGCAATATTTTGTGTATAAATTAGATATTATATATTTTTATTACGACACATAAAAAGTTATAGATTTTCTTACTAATATCTGTTTTGTATCAAGCATCATAAAATGTATTTGTGTTAGAATTTTTTAAATACTTCTTTGTTTTGATAAAATGGCACAATATCTATTCACCTATATTAAACTCTATTTTAAACTGTTTTATTTGTTCATATTTCATAATAAAAATATTTCTTTGTTTAATGGTACTGATATCAATTGTTCAGATGTACTTATATTAAATGTTCGATCAACGTCTGCAGTCGCGCTTACCGTTACATCTAGTCGCTATGCTATAGCACCAAGCTAAAATAACCGAGTGATCGCGTTAATATGTACGTTAGCACTTTTCAATAATATACGTGTACGATTTTTTACATTGACCAACAACTCGTGTTTGACCATACGAAGATACATCGTCTAACAACCTTAGTGATATTAGATACTAAATCTTACTCTCATTCACAGATTAAAAATCGTTGTCGCTTTCATTAAATATTTGTGACTTACGCGCCCTGCAAACAGGCCACTTTTAACAAAACGAACGAATCGCGTATAGGTGTCACCTGCGTTCGATTGCAATCTCAAATGGCGGATATATCATCAGACTCTTTGAGCCAATATCGCCGAAAAGCAATCGACCGAAGGTTCGATACGTACTCGTTGAAATACCGTACTGAGGCACAATATCGAGCGTTCGAAAAACAACCTTATTCGCAATCCGAAATGCCAAAAGCAGCTTGTGCAATCTACACTAAAATGCCGCTAAAGCTTAAACGTGATGATATCATTTGAGCAACACGAATTAGTGAGCACAAGAAATTAATTTTGTTTCGCTATCCTTACGTAAAGCGACGTTACAATATTTTATTTCGCCTTATGTTGAAAGGCTTTCGCGACTGATATTCTAGCATAAATTGTAAAAGACAATTTATCAAATAAACTTATTCGTATAAAGTGCGGACGAAAAGTGATTTGCTAAAAATGTATTACATATAATAAATATTATTGTTCTTGTGTTTCCTGTGAGAGCTCTTGCGAAAAGCCACGAGTATAAAAAAGGTAATATTGAGCGCCTGATAACTGGCAAGAAAACCTATAATAATAATTTAATAAGGAAAGCTAATTGGCAAGTAAATAGCCTCAAGCAATATCACACTAGTTTGTTCATGTTTCATTTAAAAGGTCTCCTTAAAATATTTTGTCGGTTCGCAGAGTATTCTTGTTGAGTAAAAGTTTATTTAAATACGATGTTAGTATTATACGACAGTCTTGATAAATTAATTTTATCATGTGAAAAAGCTATCTAGCTACCTAAAACCGCGTCTTGTTTTGTAAATACAACGTTAAAACCAATGCTTCACACAAATTAACATACATAAGTCGGATAAGAAAATATTATTTCATAATATTATGTGATATGTTCCTTTGTAAAAAAGTCCTATGTAGGTAATTGTTAAAATATAAAGTCTGTTTTGAGATTACAAAATTGAAACAAATGGTTAAAAATGAAATATAATTTGGCTGCCCACTTTTAAGATAAAGATATAAAATACTAACTGCACTAAATCGAGCCAGTGATTACTAAAACATAGTATCTTAGATTACGTAAAGTATTGAGTAACAATGCGAGAGACTCGATACAAATGTACCGCTGAAAGCGTGTCCAAGTACAGTGTACCTATATACTTAATACGTCATCACTGTAAAGTTCCGTATATCTATCATCTTTTTATTTTCAATAATATACTGATACATTTTAACTTCTGTACATTAAAATATGCAATCATTATTTATTAATCTTCAATCGCGAAGATTTCAGTGAATAAATAAAAACTTAAGCGTAATCCGCTCTCGATGAACGAGATTGTACATTAATGGATTGTTGCTTATTTATTTTCCAATCTCACTTGATTGCTTTTGGCTTCCATAAAGCTCGGACTTGAGTTGGTCGCATTCGGATCAAAGCGAACCAACTGAACCAATGTGCAGTTACCGGACGGACACACGTTAGACACGTCGTTACTAGCTACGGAACTCTAGAATGAATGACACTCAACAATACAACGTTTTACATTAAATGACGACCGTTTGTGACGTATACAGAAAAATATCGATATACTTCTTAGTTTATGCACACAAAATGACAAGCTTTTATAACTAAAATATAATTTGTTCGTAAAAGGCATAGTTACTTACGTAGTAAAGGATTGAGATTGAAAAATGGCGGCGAGGTATAATTGCCGCGTAGCTTGCGAGTGGTTCTATTCGAACGACATGAGATTAGCTGGCAAGGGCTTCACAATCTTAGTAGTGACATCTTCGATCACACGAACCCACATCTTCGCTGCAGATTCCGAAGCGGCCCTAAAAGAAAAATTTCCTTCGTGTGACTAAACTGGAATAGCTGTCCAGTTATTTTACTGAACCCTACTGCAAAAGACATGAAATGTAGAACGAGTCGAGAAAATTCATAGGTACTTAGTACGTACTTGAACTTGTAGAGCGTGCCGGTGTGATGGTTGATCAGCTGGAATGCGTCAGCGCTGTCGCTGTCAGATATCTTGGCGAACCACCCCACCAGGCATAGCACCTTGCACTTCTCGTCGCGGAAGTCGCTGCGGTTCGTCCTGTACGATTAACATCAAATATCATTTATAGACCTCATATTATAGATAATTACATAATAGATGTATCTATTGCATAATTATGTTAAACGGATATCGGAATTCGAGTAGCCAATATTCAAATTGTATTCAAATATGTGTGTATGTAGCCTTTCGTGAAGTGAACAATATTCATAACCAAAAGATACGTAAGTTTTGTCAGTAAAATATCCAAATATTTTTTATTGCGAAATACGAGTATCAAAGCAACCGAAAATAATTTAAAATATTATTTTAAACTGCCGCAGGTCAGACAACGTATGATATGTGATATATAACCGAATAGAGTGTGTTTTTCACCATTACTTATGAACACGAAACTTGCTAGCACATTTTTACATACAAAAGTTTCGCTCGTTTGCTTCGAATACTCAAACAATAGTTCGTAGAATAGTACAGTTTTACGCTATGAACAATACAGTTTTGTTTTCAGTTTTCGGTTGTTTGCAAATGAAACAAAAGAAAGCTTTATGATCGGCGATTCACATACGCCGGCCCGACTTCTAGGATACCGGAGCGTGTGAAAAGGCATTAATTACATAAACAAAACTAGTTGCCGAGTATTTAGCAGGCGGTGTCAAATGTCAGCAAGTGCATGTTCCTTAGTAACATAGGTACTGGCCCTGTGAAGCTAACGTACATATGTATAATAAACTAGAAGGAAACTAGAGCGTGTGAAAAGGCCCTGAATCTACAATGTACATTATAGTAATCATGTAGTTTACAAATTACAAGCCACTAAAACAAAGGACGTAAATTGAGTGATCGGACGTCACGTTCGAATTTCAGTGCAAACGCGACGTTCATGCAACGAGAGTAGCATGAACGACAATAATTAATAGACGACGGTAGGTTGCCCTGTATTTCCGCACAGTTCAGTCGGGCATGAATTAGTTTTATGAGCTTCACTAAATTGAACTCTCAGCAACGAGATGCATTTTATAATTTAATCTTTGAAATACTTAAGTATGTTACTACTATCTAGGCAATTCAAAATGTGCATCGTTTCGATATCAACATGGCACATTGTTCAGTGAGTTTGATTTTCGGATCAAACCGCACCACATGCCACATGCCACAAACCGCAAAACCAATAACTAAAGCGTGAATTATTAATCAGCATAGAACAGTAGCTCGCGGACGACGCGCACTGGTTGTCACCCGCAGTAAAAATTATATTGTACTTTCAAGAGTTGCTTTGGTTTTTCTTTGTTGTAAAATTTCATACAAGTAAGTAGATGATTTTTGCATTATCACATACACATGTCGTGGTGGCCCGGAGGTTTAAGACGCCCACTTCTCATTCATGAGGGTACGGGTTCGAAACCTACCAACGGCAAGTACCAATGTGACTTTTTCCGAGTTATATGTACTTTCTAAGATTATTTAGACACCACTGACAAACGATGAAGGAAAAACATCGTGAGGAAACCTGGACTTATAATTTCTAATTACAAGTTTGAAATCGCCAACCCGCATTGAGCAAGCGTGGTGATTAATGCTCTAACCTTCTCCGTCTGAGAAGAGACTTTGCTCAGCAGTGGGCATTTATAGGCTGTTGATGACGTACACATGTTGTGAACTTTATTAATACCAAATATGTCACGATTTGTTCAACGATGTCTGTGTACGACCCGTTATAGACGAGTCGATTTCCGGCGCTCTAAGATGCTGTAACCGAAGCTGCATGAAGGAAATAACATGACTCATCATTTCCTTAGAATAATATGACCTACCAGGTCGAAGGAAAAGGTTTGCCAATTGCAATAAACAAACGCATGTGTCATAAAGTTACAATTTCTTAAACGTACCGGTGACCGCAACCTATTGTTCTATAATTGTGTCTATAATGACGGTACTCGACGAGTTACAATACACGAAAAGTTATAGTTTCGACGTACAAGGCTAACTAGTGTAACAAAGAAAGTGTAAAACTTTTATAGATAAAATGAAAACGATCCGCGAGTTGAGCGGCGGGCGTAGATTTGATAAAATAATATCACCTAAACCCGATTTTATAGCTGATCGGTTGGCTGTGGCAATATCAAAGCGAGTAATATGGCTTCCATGACACATTTCGTTTACACCGACCGACATGACACGGACTGAGTGACGTCAATCACGTTGACACCATTATGGTCTTTATACATTTTATACTACATTTATTATCAATTATAACTGTTGTTCGAAAAGAGAACATATTATATTTTAGTTAAAAAAACCCACCACACAAGTAATAAAATGATATAAATAATTAATTTGTGAAGAATAAATTGTGAAAACAAACCATAGCCACTTACCCTTTGAAGGACTTCGAAGCATAAAACACGAGGATATTTCCAGAGAGCTGGAGCCAGTAGCGCTGCCAGGACGACAGCGATATTTTCCGTCCATCCTTCAAAATAGTCTTCCTTCTTACGAATCCTTGAAAATCGCACTGGATGACGTCAGCCCTCGATATATCACTACAACAAGAATGATTCCGTATCAAAATTGCGATGTTTTCTCCAGATTTATCCACACTTCACGCCAGCACAATCCAATTTAAAAGTGGGTCAGCGAAGATATGAAAAATTCGCATCGGCAAGAATAACATTGGAAAGAGGAAATGCTAAATCCGTCTTCTACATCGAACCATTCTCCCCGGAAAATACGTTTCAATAGAATGGAAGCTGATTTTGAAAGAGCAATTTGCAATTTCTTAAAGTATTGATCGCGTGCATAAAGTCCACGAAATCCTTCCAATGCTATAAAACATTAGAAATCGTAAGGATGTAAGCGACAAGCGGATATACATTTTTCAGACAGATCGGAAATAGAAAATGTTCAACGTTTAAAAACTGGAAATGGGTACACCAGCTGCACTCTAGTTCTTAGTTGCTCGTGTCATTTTAAAGCTAGAGACTTTAAGCTACGGCCGTAGGAAGCCGAAGAGATTAAAATCGAATGTCCAGGCTCTTTACAAAGTGCTTCGCACCTATAACAGTTTCTACTGACGGATAAATCTGTCGCTCAAAATGGCGACACATCGTATTTCAAAGGGATTTACCACGTAAAAATGTTATAGCAAAATCTTGTTACTTCTCAAAACCATTTATATTATGTAGTACGGGTATAATGTTGTGTATTGTACAATATTGAATTATTACCTATTTAAAAATTATGTATTTTATTTGAAAAACAGGAGGAAGGAAAGTTATTACAGCTGTAAGCTGCTTAAATAAATCCTGCTCAAGTCTCGAACCCTTATTAGTAACAAAGCTCTTTTATAAAATCTCAAAGCAAAATAGGACAAAAGAGCACTGAAAGTTCGTTATGTTGTCCTCGCAAGGCTCCCAACCACAACCTTTACATAAGCTTATTAGTTTGCACGTCTAAACGGACGCCAATGAAGTACATATTTTGAGATTTAATGCAAAACAGATTTCATAGAATGATGTGTCAAAAGACCGCAATCTGCAAGCGTAGTTGAGCGTGTATAGCAATCACCAGGCGCGGCGGCTTTGGTACTACCGTTCTACTTACATGCCCGTTTCGCATGTTATTTTCGAGACTCTTAAAGCAATTCAAAGACTGAGAATTTTGAATGGTGATTCGCTGTCATTTGCATATTTACCAACCGTAACTATGAACAACTGATCTACATCTATATCTACATACCTGATGTAGTTCGCAACGCTTAACGTCTATAGTGCTGAACTTTACACAACAAAGCTCTCCTTTTGTAGCTAGAAATATTACTATTTGATATTCTAATATTCTTAAAGATATTAACTTTTTACGACACTGTAACAATATTATTGCAAAACGAATTTCCGTAAAACTTTCATTGACATTATTTCCAAGAAAGTGGGTATGGAAAAGGAAATTGTAAAATTATCTTACGAGTGCGGCAGCGATTGAGACATCTTCCCGCCTGAAACGGAACTGGGTGACTCCAGCAAGGTGTCGTCGAGCAAGTTCACAGAACCAGCAGGAGTCTTGTTCTCCATCTTGTCGTCTGTGTGGTTCTTTCCAAATATGCTGGAAATCAGGTCTCAGGTTAATAAAAACACACAAAATACAGGCTCAAGTATTAACCATATTTTATACACTTCATTTTAAAGCATTGTTAATTCAAGAGGAAATGCAGCGCCAACGAAAAATAATTGCGCACAAAAGTGCCACGAAGTGAGATTTGTTTTTTAACAAGTACTCAATTCATATTATACAATTCACTGGAGCACGAGAGAATAGTTCCACGGTACGTAATAGGTATCTACAGCAAAGTAAATAATATTCTACATTCCAATGTAAAATGAAAATGTATTTCTAAGACCCGACAACTGCAATTCCTCTTTAAAGCTCAAAATCTCGATTTCCGAAGAGCGATTGAAAATATAATATTACTAAAGTTACGAGACGCTGCATAAAGAAGGCTAATAGGATTATTTTGTCTTGAAAATTCAATTAGTCTTCAACTTTTATTTCAGTTTTTCACAGGATGCTTGAGTCTGCTATTAATTTGACTTGACCGTTATTCGAAGCTTATTTAATTGAGAGATAGGCCTTCCGCTTCCCTCCTTCCTCTTTTCCTGTATGTCTATCTCTTTCTACTACGTCACTTCCATTTGGCAGTGGTGGGGAGGCTTGCTAAGAGAGACTCGCCATTTTTATTTCATTGAGTCTCATTACCAGGCAGAGCTTGACTATAAGCTTCGAATAAGGTAAGTAAATTAATATGCGTTTTATTGGTAGGTAAAACGCTTCCATTAATTTGACTTGACCGTTATTCGAAGCTTATTTAATTGAGACGTGTTTGTTATCGCCTGGTGGAAGTGACAGACGCCAATGTGAGGTAGTATGACTGCGTTGACCGCAGTCGTACTACCTGGTATGATGTGGTAAAATCACAGAATAGAAAAACTAAGAAAAATAGCAAATATCTAAAAACATATACATGTTTTGATGAAAGGTATTGAATAGAAAACCTGTTATTTTTAATTTTTTTTCAATAATAATTGTATTTGATCTGAACAAATATTTCTGAGGTATTTTATTGCCTCGTTTCTAATTTTCTAATCGTCTGTATTGAATAAAAAGGTGACATACAAAGGCACACACATCTTAGAAAGGATCGCCTCAAAAGGATAACTATCCACTAAATTTTTTCAGATCACAGCTGATCTGAAACCCTCAGGATATCTTGGGGGATTACTGATATCTTAATATCGGTTACCACCAAGAAGGAACTTTATCCTGACCGCAATTA